TATATATATATATATCTATATCTATACTGATCAGCCATTACATTATGACCACCCGCCTAATATTGAGTAGGCTCCCCTACTGCTACCAAAACAGCCCTTACCCATCGAGGCATGGACTCCACTAGACCTCTGAAGGTATTTTGTGACATTTGGCACCAAGCCATCAGTAGCAGATCCTTTAAGTCCTGTAAGTTGCGAGGTGGGCCAACATTCGCTTTGCATATTCATCGCTAAGTATTGGCCGTCCATGACCCTGTTGCCAGTTCACTGGTTTTTCTTCCTTGGACCACTTTTGGTACGTCCTGAAAACTGCAGACAGGGAACATCCAATAAGAGCTGTAGTTTTGGAGTTGCTCTGAATCAATCACCAGTCACCATAGACCCTGCACAGCCCACCTGAGATCCCACAAAACCCACCTGAGACCCCTACACAGCCCTCCTAAAACCCTGCACAGCCTCCTGAGACCCCGCACAGTCTCATGAGACCCTGCACAGCCACCTGAGACCCCACATAGGCTCCTGAAACTCTGTATAGCCCCCTGAGATTCCACAAAGCCACCTGAGACCCTGCACAGCCTTTTTAGACCTCGCACATCCTCTTGAGACCCCACAAAGCCTCCTGAGTCCCCACACAGCCGCCTGAGATCCCGCACAGCCCCTTGAGACCCTGCACAGCCGCTTGAGATCCCACATAGCCTCCTGAGACCCCGCACAGCCACCTGAGACCCTGCAAAGCCCATCTGAGACCCCGCACAGACTCCTGAGACCCCACACAGCCTCCTGAGACCCCCGCACAACCCATCTGGGACCTGACACAGCCCCCTGAGACCCCACAAGCCCCCTGAGACCATGCACAGCCTCCTGAGACCCTGCAAAGCCCATATGAGACCCTGCATAGCCTCCTGAGACCCTGCACAGCCCTTTAAGACCCTGCACAGCCTCCTGAGACCCTGCACAGCTCCTGAGACCCCATAGAGCCCCCTGAGACCAACACAGTCACCTGAGACTCCACACACCCTCCTGAGACCAACACAGCCCCCAAAGTCCCCACAAAGCCCTCTGAGACTCCGCACAGCCACTTGAGACCCCGAACAGCCTCCTGACACCCCACAGAGCCCCTGAGACTGATGCAGTCTCCTGAGACCCTGCACAGCCTCCTGCAACTGACACAGCCTCCTGAGACCCTGCACAACCACCTCAGACCTCGCACAGCCCTCCTGAGACTCCCCACAGCCCCCTGGGACCCTGCAAAGCCACCTGCCACCCACATAGCCCCATAAGATCCCGCAAAGTCCATATGAGACCCCCGCACAGCCCCCTGAGACCCCCGCACAGCCCCCTGAGACCCCGCACAGCCCCCGTGAGACCCCACACAGCCCCCGTGAGAA